GCATGCTCAATGTCTCTCATTTTTCTTTTCATCAGAACCTTCTAATTATATTATATTATATCATATTCGTCTAATTATATTATATTCGTATTATAAAAAACAATGAAAAATATGTAAGAAATCGGTTAAATCGTTTTCATGTTACTAACTAACGGAAACAGTGAGTTATTTGTAAACATAAATACATTATTAATACGAAGTATTCGATTCTGTTAGCTATTTTCTATGCTGGCTGTACCTACCATCGACTGTAGCTATTTACCGGAAAATGGTTTGAGATCGCATTTTCTTGTTAATTGATCATTCGCATTCGTATGTAAGTATCTAATTTGCGAGTGTAATGAGAACATATCTGTAATTGCACGAATCCACGAACGTGCGTGTAGTTTGATGCGGTAAATCTAATCTTGTTAATGTTACTTACTTAGATTTTTTTAACATAATCATTCTTAGTATGGTTGGTCGAAAACAACTTGTTAATATCATAGATAATTTTAATTGTTTCGTTTTTTTAAAATAAAAAAAGTTTTTATGTTACCATACCTTATTTATTGTAGGTCTATATTCCATTATATTTTGTTATTTACCAAAAACAATGAATATGAAAGTTAATTATTGAAGTACATATACCTAAGTATTATTGAAATTTGCAAATAGTTCAGTTAACAAGTGCAAAAAAATACAACGTAATTTATTCGAATAACAGCAGAGAATACAACAATCCAATTAAATCGCGACATTGACAACTAAATCCTATTAAGTAATCGAAACGACCCGCTTAATTGGCCGCCATTACATGAAATGCTCTATGGTCTGTCATCGCACACAAAATGGCGTCCAGCGTGGCGCGCGCGGGAAAATAAATACGCATCGAGATGGATATTATATCTTCATTAGCGTTCAGTAGCGCGCATTGATGTGTCCACAGGTGGGTACCATTGAAATTGTTGTATTTTATCACTGGTCTGCATAAAGATAGGCTCTAGTGCAGATAAGAGTTTGCCTTTTTAGATTTAATATAGTCCAGTGCATTGATTTGTTTGAAGCCTTTTATAGAATCTACAGTAGTGTATTGTTTCGAAAATATTTTACACTAGCCCTCGACTTAAGAATCGTATAATATTTTTGATTGTAAACCACATTCAAATAAGTTATGCCGTTTCTGAGACTAGCGCACATAAACACATAAAAAAACAGACAAACATCAGTAATTGTTTTGTATTATCTACCTATACTATATTGATAAAGTTCCCTTATATTTATTTCCTCGTATATTTTTCACTTATAGACAGCAATTAGTTATACTTTTATTTTATTTATATTATGAACTATTGTATTCAATATACTTTTGAGAGAGAAATACGAATTTAGCATTCCTCATGATTCTTCAGGCGGGTGCGGGTGCCATTTTTAATTAATTTCTTTCTATATATGTATATATATATATATATATATATAAAGAAATTGTCTTGATTATTGTTATAACTTTTACTTCCTTAATTATTTATATGTTTTACATATAAATTAAAGTTGAGAATTAAAAGACGGACCGCCAAATATTCATCGAATTCAAACATTATTCCTTCAGGAAATTGAATTGAATTGAAAAATTAATATGTAAATACCTAATCAATTGTCAATTGATAACTTAATCAATCTACATGCCAATCTTCAATATCATGCCTGCTAACATATAATTAATTACCTATTCTCTTGCCTGACTCTACATTTTTTCTATAATAGTTTATTCTATACAAACTTATGCATACCTAACTGCTTCTTACAATTCACTTGCTTATAAATGTATATTTAAAAAACAAACAATAGATATAAATATAATTATTTTCTGACTAGCTCTTTATCTCTTTCTTAAGTCACTCAACCAGAGGTCCATCTCAGTCTAATAAAAGGCAACAGAGGAAACTTATATGTTAACCTAGAAAATGTTCTATTTATTTACCAAATATCCATCTATTTAAGGATGATGAGTAACAAACAGATATATATTTATTTTTACGGACGTATCGTATCTAATAGTGCACAGGAGACTGTTCGTTTGATTGCATAACACAAACCGTAATTGTAATATCTACATGTAATACCTATAGTTATAGTATCTTTTGTTCCCTAACAACATTAATTAAACCCGAATGCGGTGTCATTAGCCGGATTGATATTCAATGTTAAATCGATTTAATACATTTGAATATTAAAACATCGACTGCATAATAATTGTATAGACTTGGTAAGCCATTGTTTGACTTCCGTTTGATAAATTACCTAATGCGATTGTTTAATTTGGTTTTGAAAGGTGCTTTATAATGCATTAGAGAGATATTTAAAACATATTAACATAATTTATGATTCACAATAAAGATATTTCTATTTACAAAAAAATATCAAATAATTATATTTGAGCTAGCACCCATACTTAACCATTTAAACTTATATCCATAGTATTTGGAATAAAAATAGCTTGTAACTTTTTGTTTGTGAACCGATTACAATGAAACAATGTTAGCTTGCAAGAATGCGTTAAATTAAACCCATTCAAATCTATAAACAAACACACAGTCAAACATAAAGAGTTTCAAACATATTTATTGACTTCTGTAATACGTGTATAATATGTATAAATTAATTTTATGAAAGAATATTTAGTGTACACATGGCTTGTTTACGAATTTATAATTTGATAGATTTATAAGCGTTGCTCCACATTACGGAGGAATAAAATAAGAACTGATAGTGGTGGTTCATCAATAAATATTGTATCAATCCTAAATTAAACCACGGTTTATTTTCAATATTCTACAAAGGATCCACTGCTAGTAGCCTAGCATGCACTGTCGCGATTTTTTATTGTATAGTAGTTGGTACCTATTTTAAACGATTTCGCCGGTATAGCTGATGACCGTTCGCTGAAAAATATCGTAATGCGAACTTATAATGAAGAATCTGGGACGATCATAAAATAGTAGAGTGTAAAGATGATTGTTTGAATTAAATAATTAACTTGATAATGGTGCAAAAATTACATTTAAAACATGAATAGCTAAATGAAGAAATATTCTTTTTAATTTTTATACTTGATTAAAAGACAGTAATTTTTATCAGTTTATAAGAGTGAAACTGGGCTCCTCAGGAGCTTCTTCGCTGTCTAACATGTAGCACAGTTTTACCTGAACAGGCTAATACGAGGAGTAAATAGTTAACTAAACAGAACCAATTAGGTGCGTATTTCATTACTAAGGCATAAAATTAGCCATCAAATTACATACTAAGCCAAAAATTCAGATTAGTCTATATAGTATAGTATAGTATAGTAGGTAGTTCAGAAAGCTCCAGATATACAGAACCATAAATTAAAAAATAGTAACGTACGGGCTCTGTTTGTTGCTCTGTGTTTGTTTTAATTGCTTTTGCACAAAGATTATCTGTTATTGCTATTTTACCTTTACAGACTGTCTTCAACTTATTTCCCGATTATTTAAAAAACATTATTATACATAGTCAAGGTGAATTCTGTGTATATAAAGATTATAAAAGTACAAAAAATTGTTGATCCTCTCATTTGTTTTCTAAATTCTCTATCCTCTCACTTGTTTTGAAAACCAGAGGATATCTTCTCTTACTTTTAGTATTTATAAAATAAAAATACTAGAAATGACAGATTTATTCTTTATAAAAATTCTGAATAATATAATTAGCAAATTGAGTTTCGACAGATTCAAATAGAGATCGCATCTCATAGACAACATAGTTACGAGTATTGCTAACTTTATCGACGACTTATTTCGCAGCTATGTATTAAATTAATATTTAAGTGTAGTTCTATATTTACCTTTCAAAAAAATAATTTGATATCTATTCAGTTACATGCAAAAATCAGTCACTTATTTGGCCTACTTTAGTCATCCACTCACACAACACGTTACCATTTATGTATGTGACAAAGTTGTTGAACTAAAGCTGCCTGTGACAATGTCATAAAGTAAACTAGTAATATCAATATCTGGTTATATCGTATAAACGTTATGGACTTTCTGACTTGTACCAATAACTCATAACAACTATTTTTACTTTTAAATGAACGAAGCGGCCCTTCGTTAAAATGTTCCAAACTTCATATCTTTCATTCAAATTTGGTGCTAATTGTAAATATCATTTCATATTATACATATATCTAATATAAACTAGAGGGCAGTGGTCGAAATTGTGTGTGACCATAATTAATATTACATTCAGTAAGAGTATAGACAAATATAATCAATTCTTCTTATTGAAAAGAGTATATATTCGTGTGTGTGTGTGTGTCAAAAACATGGCAGTGTGTATGTGATGTCTTCTTATTGAATTAATTTATAATTAAAGAAAAATATTAGCATTCTACACTTCTTCTTTATATAAACTCTAAGTGTGCGAAGTTTCATATTCCTCCGTCATCATATTATTATATACATGTAATATTGTTTTAGTTATTTAATTAAGGGAGATTTACCTTTCGATAGAGTTTTGTGAAATTCGTGGTTACCGTGACGATGTTACTACATCTTTTAAGTAGGCTTTTGTTTAGAATAGTAAACCTTACTGATAACTTAGTAACTGTCGCCTAAAGATTTGAATATTACCACACACTACGAGGTCCACATATCTATTGTCAGTCTTTTTTTATGTAACTGAAATACCAAATATCAAGTAGTATATGATGGTGGATAGCAAGTGGTAACCGTCGCCAATAGATATAGAGAATATTACGGTCATAACAAAATGAATACGTAGCTCACGAGGCACTCACAGGAATAGCAACGCTAGCGCGTTGCTATTCCTGAGGCCTTACTGTGTAAAAACAACACTCAGACAATTTTCACTTTCCGTGATTTTACGATTATACGAGACATATGTACAAAAGAGATAATATTATAGTATGTTGTACGATATCACAACCTATCAATGTCACCCTAGTCTATTTTTGTTATGGAAATGTCAAAATTAAATAGTATGTTTCTCCTCAGCGGGAGCTCCAAGCGGTCCACCAGTGGTACGATGCCAACTCCGAAAGCACAAGCCCAACAGGAAACCACGGACACCGTTCACCACGCAGCAACTCCTCGCCCTTGAGAAGAAGTTCAGGGACAAACAGTACCTGAGCATAGCAGAAAGGGCTGAATTTTCCTCCTCGCTGAGGTTAACTGAAACACAGGTAAGAATCTTGTCCTGTCGCACATGAAATGACGGTCTACTTTTTTATTGATTTTAGGCTACTAATGGCCCATATTACAAATATAATAGAATATGAAATCCTTATTTCAAATAAAGTTAATTTAAGCACTTTTGAATAGTCATAACAATTTTTTTAATCTACCGCTCATTCGCAAAGCTGTCTCATCACAAGAAGAACGAGTAAAAAACTTGTGTCTCCTCTTTTAAATAATTCTTGTAAGTTGACATTTTACAAGTCGAAACGTGTGAATACAAACTACCATCTAGCACTAATTTATTAGGGTCAAATATCAATACACTAATAAGTTTAAATCAGTTTTAATAATTTATATACACAATAAGATTAAAGCAGAATTAAATCAGTCGTACTGATAAGTAAGATCTGTCCCTACAAGCAACATTCGTTCACGAGTATGACGGATGAACCAGCCATCACTGCGCTCGACCATATTTTAGGGAGCCCAATGACCCTACTACACTAGCATAAATATGTAATAATAATACCTATATAGAAATGTAAATCGCCTCTGTGATCACGGCACTGACAACGACGCAATATACTACGATATTATTTATACCTATACCTTTAGGTGAGATTTGTTATTCTCAAATTCGCTTTCATTTGCTTACTATTTTCTCCATGAGCTCGTATGGAGAAGACTAGAGAGTTACTCATGACTCGTTCCACTGATTTACAAAAATATTAATAATCAATATAAATTATTGAAATCCTACCTCTTTTTATGTACTGTGATGTACAAACGATAATCATTAATTTAAAATAATTTCTATTTGTTACCTTGAGAGGCTATATAAGCAAGTAAAACTCATGTCTCTAGATAATTAAACAAGGTAGTTGAAGACTTTTGGATTTTATAATTTCAAACCATTGTTATTTGTATAAACAACTCAATTCTTATTTTCAGGTTAAAATATGGTTTCAAAACAGACGCGCGAAAGCGAAACGTTTGCAAGAAGCCGAGATCGAGAAACTGCGATTATCGGCCAGACCTCTATTGCCTCCGTCCTTTGCCCTCTTCGGTGGTGGAGGCGCGCCCCCTCTCTTCGCCGCTATGGCAGCGGCCACTAGACCACAGTTGAGCTTCTTAGGAGGCCCCCCGAGTCATCAACACGCTATAAACATGAACATATTGAACTCGTTACAACCCCATTGACGACTGGAACACGCGGGGACGCGTGAAACCCCTGAACAACCGGCTTCATCCTAGCTGGAACACGGGTTGATCCCGTCAGTTATCGAAATTCAAATTTATAACTAGTGAAATGATTATAAACTCATTATAATGATTAAATGAATAAAAAGCAGGCTGTTAAATAAATTTTATTTATAGAAACATTTAAAAAAGGATAAAGCGAATAATGGTGTGTATAAATAATTACTATTCTTGATTCAAAATATTGTTTTTACTAAAAGAAATGTTCTAGTTCAAGTGATTTGTTTTAATAGAGATCAGTGACTGTATAAAATAAAATATAATTATAGTTAATAATGTATAATATCCTGATAAGTTCTGTGTAGCTAATTTAGTACAGTACATAGTGCTTTTTACAATTTTGAAACAATAAGTGCAATTTCTTATATAATTAAGTAAAGTAAATGAAAAATCAATAAAATGCTCGCTAGTATGATAACAGTTTGAACTAGTGTTGAAAATATGTGTCAATCATCAGTATACTACTAATGTTTTATTAGTGGCCAGAAATCAAAATACCTATTCGGGTATTTATGTATAAAAATGTAACATAAAACTAATTATATATGTTTCTTTCCATTTTTGTATAGTATCACCTATCCCTTGTTCTTAAAATCGAATACTCGTGTGTTTTGTCACTCTCTCTCAAATTCAAAAACTTGCTAGATAAAACTGGACAATGTTTTATATAACTAAAATAAAATAAATACTTATTTAACGATTGAGATTTTATGAATAAGGAAGTGAAAATTAGTAGACATTTTATTGATTTATTATAGTATTTTTTTAATATTTCCATATGGCAGCCCTTTAACCACATTGGAAATTTAATAATGTTATACGATATTATAGAAACGTTTTTTGTATATCATCACACACGTGTCATAAAGTAATATAAATTGCCAGGCCATTTCTTACATACAATATAATTCTTTAATAATTTCTACACCTACAACTTAGCAAATACCTGCAAATATAGGTAATATTACTTCATAAGTATAATATAGGCATTCATGGAAAGCACACTTCCGGACAATAGAGTTTGAGTAAACTTTCATTATTGTAAAACACGGTCTTTTTTATTTTTCTTAGTTTGCACCATATTTTTTTTCTTTATTCTATAATATTACAGAAAAAACATTACTTTAACATACTTTCATTAGTGCTAAACGTTTCATGCATATAATATTTACAATACTCATAATTAATGGTATTAATTTAATATAATATTAAAAACAATACATTTTCACAGATCTGATTTAAAGTACTACTACCGCTGTTGATGAATGTAAAAAAGCTATGTATATACATATTAGTATCGTAATTAAATTATTGTATACGTAAGTTTAAGTGTAGATGACTCTCAATAAACTATTAGATTTTTTAATACAAATTATTGTGAAATAGTTAAGTATATTACGTATTAATGTGTTATTTTTTTATTTGTTTACAATTTAATTCTTTTGAACTTTTGAATTACGAAATATTGTTTTGTTTTACAAAAAATCTTAAAACACATTTTAAATCTGTATTTGGGATATTTTGAACATAGAGAACATTTATGTAATAAATATAAGAATGACTTGGCGCATTTGTAAATTATTGATTAAATTATAAATTCGTTATTAGTACACTTATGATGTTTTAATTCTCTATAAAATAATATTGGCATATGTAGGCTTTGCATCACTACCTAATACAGGAGTGATGACTTCTTGAACTAAACACAAAATTAGGTTTTGTATAGACATTTATACGTCTAACAATAATAACAATAATAATTGAAAAACTAATAAATAAATATTACTTTTAAAGTAATAAAGTATTTTATTAGTCTTTATCAATCATAAACGTGTAAATTTAATGCAATCTAAACCTGAACATATCTGTTTACGAACATCTTGACGAACAGTTCTTATAAGGTTATTCTGGGCTCAATGGTATTATATCATAAATTAAATATTATATCATCTAAATTATCGAAAAATTCATTCCGCTTACAACACAAATTGGATCAGTAAATATTGCAGTCAACTTTAATGGAGTATAAGTGTGCTTACTTAGACGTTTCCAGATAAATAATACATTAATCTAAAGAACTCTATCAATAGATCTTCTCGAGTATAAAATAAGGTCTAATAAATATTGATTGTTGCTGTAACTACTAATAAATATATTCCCAGCAGTTGGTATCTCATTGTCGCCATAACATCCCAGCTAACTTCCTCTTCGCACTAATTGGTAGTATTCGCAAAAAAAAACCAGTCGGCAGCCGTTGTCCATAACCGTTGTTATTACTTTTTAAACGAAAGATTTGTATGCTCAGACGCTACATACGTGCCCGGGCTGTACCATTAATTACTCATTTACTTATTTATTTACCAAAATGGCCCTTATATGTGGCCAGTAATTTATTGTAATTGGTCAGTTCATTCGTAATGACGACTGACTGAATCGGTTATGTGGCCAGTATGTAGAGAGCTCTCTATTCACCCTTCGCTCCTTGTCTGCTACGCTTGTCCCATCAACTTTCTCTGTTTGTAGGCTCTTGCGCAATTTGCCATGTTTTATGTCAATTGGCCATCTTTCAATAGTCATGATGTGTTTATAGCAGTCCATAAGTTCAAACTACGTTACACATTGCTTTGTTGTAAGTTAGTAAGTGGTAACGCAACATTAACAACAACTTAACCAAAACCTTAGACAATAAAATTATCGCAGAAGATTCTTTTGTAAGTAAAAATGCATACCTGATTGTTTTATTTTATCATAACATGGAAAATATTCTATTATAACATTACCAATTGATATTAAATGAATACTGTAGGTTATTCGAAATTACTAAATAATTGAAAATTCATGATTAATAATTACTAGATAATTGTTTCGGCCCAATCGTCATCGCATTGATCTTGATCTTTCGCGTTTTGATTTTATACGTGTCACTTCTTATCATTTATCCTCGTAGCTCAAACATTAATTACTATAATATTCTATGCTATATACTAATATGCTTTGTATTCCAAACTTTTTGAAAAGAAAAAATAGTAGAATTTTTGATAAATTTTCTTGACTATTTATGCGTTATAATCTCAGAAGTGGCTTATCCAAGTTACATCATGTTTTCACTAATGGCTTGTGATGGCATCACTTAAAACAAAAAAGTTTTACTGTACAAAGTCGCGAGCTCAGCATTTTAATCATTTCTTTTATATCTTTCTGTGATGAATTAAATTAAGCTTAATGCCTATAATTTGTAAAAATATAATTATTAGAGGCCTAGTCAGTTCCAACAATAATTTTATCATAATTACTTTTAAACATGAACTAAACATAATTAGAAATTATCAGATCAAATAGCTAACCCTTTCGCTCTAATTTAAATTGTTGGCATTTTTGTCGAAGCAGTCATTCAGGCCACCAGAGACGACGTTGATGGTAATCTATTAGTGGAAGGGTTAGGTAAATAATTATATTCCATTATTCCACTTACTTCATAATGTTTGTTAGACTTATTAAACAACTAATAGTGCCTGTGACTTCATACACGTGTACATTCGTAGATCGCCACCTATTGTTAATATTTATTATCACAACCTAAATAAATATATCATTTCGTAGCATCATATATGCTAGACATTATTTGACCATAAATTACCTAATTAATAAAAATGTAGCTGGTGCATTGAAAATTTTCATTATATTAAATTAGTTGGAAGAAATTTTTTGTCAACTTTCTTATTAATCTGTCGACAATATATTCTGTGCGCATTAAAAATGAAATACGCTAATAGACAAAAACACAGTTTTCGCCACATTACGGGTTATTTTTTATTTTAAATGAAGAAAATATATAGAAAAGAACATAGATACATTCAGGTTACCAAAACATATTACTAGCGAAAGACTTTATAGAAATCTGTATAGAATAACTCAGACTGTCTACTTTTTCTGCTATCTAACAGCTTACTGCGCTAATAAGGTTAATACATAAAGTTACAAAAACAAATCCATTTTTTTTAGTCAGTGCTCGCGTCATTATTTCTTTTCTGAGCTTTTTTTGCCTTAATTTCTTCTATTACTATTTAATATTTTATCCCAAAAAACGGTATGATATTATATCTTCAATAAAAACAGAATTAGTAAAGAGTTACACGAAGTAAACCTTTCCGATTTATTAAACATGGAACTAATTCCAGAATTAGCAAAATTACTTTAAAAACATTCATCCCAAAAATTAAGACCCTCCTCGTAATTAAAGTCTGCTAAGAAAAACAAATCATTGTTACAGAATGGATTTTTAGCACAATAATTACTTTAATTAATAACGTTTAACGACCTCGGTGGTCTAGCGGTTTTACACTCCTTTACTAACTAATATTTATAATTATATCTGTCAGTATAGTCTCTTAGCCATTTCTGTGGGTTTTTACATTTAAAAGCATTTTATTATGTCTATCAGTTATGTTGTACCCTTAGTAGGTGTAAGTTCAGCTTAGTTATGGGACGACAAGTGCAGTGTGAGTGGTCCATAATAATTTATTTATTCAGAGAAATCAAGCCGTGTGATATCTCATCGCGGACATTTAGTAAGGGTAAATGTTAATTTAAATTCAGTTGTAGGAGGCGCGGTCTCTTAACGATCGCACGTCATAAATACGTAATCGACGCACGCCTTTATTTGATTCATTTGTCAAACGGTGAATATGCACTTTATAATTATGTGGTTATTTTTGTGAACCATTCACACATATTTATCACTGCGAACGTGTTTTTTGCCTTATAGATTAATTAAATATTTCAATGAATCCAACTATATACAAATTACAAAAGCTTATTTTTTACACGAATATGTATCTCTCAGAAACTGGCATTAGGCATGTAATTACAAATTACTGGTAAATTTGTATTAAATGATTCATACTAATTATGCACGTAGCAGAAATTAAATTCTTATACCTAAATGAGTGACTACAATGTAAACTATAATTTAATTATACGTAATACGTACTACTAAATGCCAGACAATTATACCAATTAACCTGTAATTATCATGTATTTCAGTATACAGTGCACTAACTTTTGATAAATTATCCATAGGCATCTGGGACCATAACCGTAATGAATGTCTTTACTATATAGGGGCCATCCTTAATTTACATCTAAGTGTGTGTGAATATATAACAACAAACAACCTACACAAATAATACACCTATTTTAATATATTGATAATAGACATTTAGCCATTACATCTGAATACGGATCTAAGTTGTTAAGAGAAAGAATTATCCTTACTAGTGGGTAGTAAGGCTATGACCAATATTTTGACTAATATACCCCTATTAATAAAAATATCATCTACATCTGCCTAGTCCATTTTGAGGTTACTCTTGGTCAGTTTTCCCCTTGAATTCTGCAATGGCAACTCAGAGGTACACCGTATGGTATATTGTGGGTGAAAATTCCACATACAATAGGTGACCTCCCTCCGGCGAGATTATAGAAGATTTTCCACATGTTAAAAAAATGTTTAATTGAGTTTTCACCATACTTATATCCATAAAAAAGTACTATAGTGCAAATTTTGCTTTCCCCTCGTCAGCTCTTACAATGTTCTAGACAACACATTATATTGAAACGACTATCCTGATTCACTAACAATAAACTAACTAACGAAAAATAAAAAAAACTACATATAAGTTTTAATTAATGCTGTTATGTATCATAACCAATAACATAAAATAAATTAACACTTGATCTTAGGTGTCAAAGTTAGTAGCTAATGTTACAACTTAGTAAATATATACCACCCAAGTAAATTGCCTCCAAAAACATATTTTGACATTTTGTACTAGGACAAATAATGTCTACAAATGCAAGTAAAACCAGTATTATAATTAGCCTAGTAGTCCTAGAAGCAAATGTGTTTAACAGGATAAGCATTGCAAACAGGGCTGAATAAAACGAATTGCAAGTGATTAAGTGATATTTCCATTATATGAATGCCAGTTATAGGTATAATCAACTGGTCGAGTCCCATTATTTTACTTGATTTATTTCTTGTTATAAATAGGATTTCTTGTAATTTACATTGAAAAGAATATAGAAACATGGACTCTCTGACTAAACTGACTATCTGAGAATAAGCCTTATTGAATCTAAAAATAAAATTGCTGTAGTGACCACTTTTCTTGTACTTTGAAAATTATGACCTGTCAAGTTTGTTCTAACATAAACGCTCTTTTTGATAAAAACTTCTATATAAAATAACACCTGCCAAGCCTCTTCCCATTTCATTTGATGTCGGATCTCCCAGTCTCTCTTAGCCAGGCACATTTGTCCTAGGTCATTGAGTCGTATACAAAATAACACCTACATTATTCGATATAATATACTTACGATTTTCTTAAATAATTAGAAAACTGTAATGGAACTAATACGGCAACAATAATCGCTGCCAATTACAAAATAGATTTAAATTATTAACAAGTCTTTTAAAAATTACTTCAACGTCTCATATAATTAATTTTGCTTAGACAGTCGTTGTGTATTTGTTAACCATTACATACCAATCGTGACAACCCTAACAAAACTCGGCTCAGTTACTGTTAGGGACCATGAAAATTGTTTTACGCCTTTCCAGTGTCCATGAATGTCTTCATTGATTTTGCTAAATTGAAAGTTAAGTGTGGAGCGGCTCTTTGCGCTTTCAAATATACGAATGTGATCCTTTTGA